CATTCCCCTACAAGTCAAACTGCCTAAGCAGGTCTGCTTTGCTTTCTCCTCAGAGGCAATAAGCAGCATAATTGCCCACATTTAGAAGGTACCACCCAGCCCTTTCTAAGCAAGCACATTTATTCATAAGGTAAAAGCATTATATATTAAAACAATCAAAGAACCTACATGAATACTAATAAGCTTACCAGAGGTCACCCCCCAACTCCAAGATGGGCTCTGGGAGGTGATCAGTCCTTCAAACCCCACCCAGGGTTTTTTCTGTGGTTACAAGTTCATAACACCTTTTGCTCAGAACAAGAACACCCATGCATCTGTGAGTTGCTCCTTCATACAATTGGAGTCTTTGATCTTGGGACCCCAGGAACAGATGATGAGCAGACAATGGATTTCTCCTCAGGGTCCGGAAGTGGGACTTTGCCTTCCTCTTCTCTCAAGTATGTTGTAGGAAACCCACTCAACTAAAAGTTCATTCTCATCTGGCACATTGTTTAAAAGAGTCCTTTGAAGCTCATAACACTTCCCAGGGTTACATTAGTCATGAGACATTACACACAATCCCACAATAATACAAAAATATTTGCATTTTTAATACAATGAACTCATAAAACACTTAACCTTAGTTCAATAGGGTTTGTCCAGGATATTACAGGAAATTGTCATATATACACATGCCATGTGGAACACAGCACAGTCCATTCACCTCCCCATGCTTACAACAGGACCAAATCAATACTGTGTTACACACAGAGCTTTGCTGCTGACATCAAGAAGGAAGCTCCAACATTACAGGGGCTCCTCCTCCCTTGTCTATCTTTCTGACTTGAGCACTAGCCCTGCCCTGACTCTTCCTCCACTGGTCCCTCCTTGTATGCTAACATCTGCTCTCCTTAAGTAATCCACCCCAGTGGTGATCTGCCTCCAAGTCTCTGCTCTGGTCCTTGGTCAGCCCTGTAATGTGACTCTCATGCACAGCACTGACTTCTTCTTCCCTGGGCCAGAGTATCAGCTGCATTCAAAAACAAAGACAGAGAAAAAGGCCAAGCACATCATCCTCGAGGGAGAGTTTTAAACTTCAAAGGTCAGATCCTGTTCCCATTGAAGTCAGTGACCGAAGTGCCAATAACTTTAGGCCTTGGGTGTACTCATCCTCTGGCTGGGGTGCCATATGTTCTACTGCATATACATATCAGTCACCCTAATATCATAGGAAGACCCCCAATGCTTCCCAAGACATTCAGAATCATTTAATCATGCCTTGGAGACCAATTTACAGCCACCGTTCCAGCAAGAAGAGACTCATTCTGCATTTGGGAGAAGCAGGAAACTCTGGACTCAGTCTCCAAACACCCTGCGTTGAAATATTCCCCAGTCCTCAGTGAGACACTGATATATTACAAATTCTCTTTACTTTTTTCTGCACATCCTCTGTGGGGTTTTCAGACTAAGTCAGATAATTAGCACTGGCCCTCACACACACACACACACACACGCAATAAAATACCTTCACACTGATCCATGCCCCTGCACTAGCCCCCAGACACCTCTGTGCTCCCCAGCGTACCTGCCAACCCATTAAGCAAAGGCTAAAGGGGTGACACTTTTGGTGCTGTGGGCTGACTCCAGCCACTGCAGGGCTGCTGCAATGGTGTAAATCCTAAACCCCATCTCACGCACAGCCCAACAGGCAAGGCACGGATGTTGCTCCACTGTGCAGGAAGGCTGGATTCAGAGAAATCATGCCCCATTCCCCACCCCCCGTGCTCTGCAGGCCATTTGCCTCAATGCATGTACGTGGAGAGGGTTTTGAAAGCAGGGCAAGGAAGAGTTAGGGGCACGCCTGGTGGGTCCACAAATACGTGAATCTGCCAGTCAAACCTTCCTGTGCAATTGCTGCAGTCGTAGCTGTACAGCAACTCAGCTGCCGCTCCTTGTCCTAAGGAAAAAGCATTCCAACGCCTACCTTGACCACCACAGAAACCCCTGTGCCAAGCCCCATTAATTTATCTTGTAGAGTCGAATACTGAGTAACTGATGGGTAATGGATGTGCATATATAGAAAACACAGGGGGTACCAATGGGCTAGTGTGGAGGACTGTGCATTTCAATGCACAGTCATGGAGGAGGAGCATGGATAAAATGGATTAAAATCCAAGACAGTATGAGACAAATCCTGAGGTCCTTACTCAGGCAGGGACCCACTGAAGCCGATGTAAATATATTGGGGTGTGGCATGAAGATTTTATCAGCAGGAGCGTGTTACTCAGGAGAAACAAAGCCACAAGGTGAGTGATGCCAGCCATCCCAAACAAGTACCAGGTGTTCTCTACATGTCACGTGTTTGCCACGAAAAGCACACATATTTTAGGAAAGTTTGAGAACATTACAAAGAAATGTATTGGGATTACATTTTGTATCCCCCACCTGCAAAGCCACAAAAAGGCTGAGCTAAGTCCAAATCTACAGACTTCAGAGGGAAAAAATTAACACAGCTTTGAAATCTCTAGAATCTGGCCTATATCAGACTGCTAATTTGAGGCCCAATATCTTTACACTTTACAGTGAAAGAAGCAAATGTTATGTGTCCTGTTACAAAGCTGGGAATCATTCCTTTCTAATAGTATCTCTGACCCATTTCTAGCCTTGATTGATACTAGACCTCAGACCTGTCACTGCTCCAGAAATGGGCCTTACTCCACTGTAATTTTGGGAGGAAATTTTACATTTAGTGAATGAAACAAACATTTCTCTGGCAGGTTGGTTTAAAAAAACAATAACAATCCATCACTCACGGGTTGGTATGTTAGAAGTAACATAATAAATGCAACTGGTTACACAGTTCCATAGGGAATCACACGGCACTTCCATCACACGTGTGGCATGTATATCATAGACTTGTAGACCAAGTGTGATTGGGGAAAGCTTCCCGTTTTAGGGACGCTATTACTATATCCTTTATTATGAAATGACACACGCCAGGTTTCTAATTAAATTTTAAATAGAAATGAGCTCCCGAGCTGTTGAATAATTCAAGGAGTTGTATTAACTGAGGTTCTGAGATGCGAGCTGCACAGAGCAGTGGCTGGCAGAAGGCCAGCCCTCAGAAGTACTGCAGCTGTTTGGTGGTGAGTCGATAAGGACGTGTGTGTGTGTGTAAAGAAGAGCAAAGAGAGAGCGTGTGAGAGACTCTGTGTGCGAGAGTGGGAAGAGGCGGGTGTGCTCTGCATGATGAGTGTGTGCATGGGATGAAGCTGGTTTTGGTGCTCTGTATTTATTGCTGTTAATGTGCAAGTGTGATGAGGAGGTGAGATTCTTTGGCTAGATATACAAAAGCCAATGGGGATGTGAGGGGTATGTATGTGTGTGTGTGTGTGTGTGTGTGTTTGAAGCTATTGTGCGTGCTTACACATGTGTGAAAGTGCTTCTGAGTGACAACGAAGCATGTTCTCTATACATGTGAGAGGCTGGGGGCTGAGCATACAAGAGATGGGGCGGTGGAGTGTAAACGTTTGTGTATCTCACCATGAGCACAAGTGCCTGAGGAGCATCTGCATGATCCATGAGTGTCAGAGGGGGAGTGTACATGTACAGTGTGTGATGTGTAGGAGTGCCTGTGACTCTGTGTGTGTCACCATGTGTGAGACTAGGATGTGTACAGAGCACAATTAGTGACCATGGTGATTTCAAGTCCTAAGACAATGACATCCATGCCCCACGGAGCATACAGTCTAGGACAGTGCATGCAGGAGCAAGAGTATGAGCACATGTGTGTACTGGCACAAATGTGTTGTACCACTGTCAATTAGATTGCTGCTGCTGCTTGCTCCACCCTCATCCCAGTAGAAGCGCACGTCTTTTTAAGGTCAGAGGAATCAGTGCAAAGAGAAGACTAGAAAGACTTCAGCTTTCTAATTCCAGATCTCAATCAAGCCAGGAAAGTGCCTACTGAGAAAGAGTTGACGACACAGGATGTGGTGGGGGGGCTGAAGGTCAGTCTCCTGCACTGTATTTAAACATACCCAGCCTGGAATTTAGAGCAGGATCATGTGGGATAATCTCATAAGCTATAGGAAAGCCTGCAAAACACTCCCCCTCCCTATCCCGTCCCTCTCCCAGTAGGCGTCTCAAAAGTTAAGTCTTCTTCTGCTAAGAAGCTCAGGGAGATTGAGGAGGGGGCTAAAGTAGGAGCCATATTTACATAGACAAACACAGGCAGGTTAGTTTCAACTTGATTTTTGTAATGTCAACAGAGAGGAAGCTCAGCTTGGATGCAGCAGTGGGTTCCAGTGGGCCTGGGAGGAAGCGGGGGGCGTGTATAGATTTATGTTCTCCAGGGGAGGCTTAGCCCAGGCACGGCAGTGGGTTCCAGTGGATCTGGTATGGGGGAAGTGGGAGAGACTGTGTATATTACATTCTCCAGAGGAACTTCAGCTCAGACATGGCACCCAGTTACAGTCAGAGGGTCCTTGCTTTTTGTCCCAGTTTTCCAGCTAGCCTGACAGGCTGCCCAAGAAAGTTGGTTGAGTTACTTGACAGGACACAGCCAGCCCATACTCTGGCCAAACTACTACTGAAGTCAAGGCTTAGAATTGGGCCTAGTGAGTTCAGCTGGGACACAAACCCAGGGCCCTGCCTGGATTCCTCAAGGCTTATGCTCAGAGGACTAGATTGCACTTAGGTTAGTTCACAGTGGCAAGGGAAAAGAGAGAAAGGTGGTTGAAGGGAGAATAAGAGACAGAGACAGAAAGGGGGAGGATGAGGTGAGCAAGAGACAGCGATAGAAGTGATTCTTTCCTCAGCTTGTGAATAATGATCCAGATGTACCTTGTTTTTTAATATCCGCCCATGCCCAGGGTTCCCTAGGGACACATCAGATACTGAGGTGAGATAACAGAGTTGATGCTTAATCCCAGCTCCTCTTAGCAAGAATCATGTCAAGGGAGGAGAACAGAGTCTCCCCCAGAGGAAGGAAGGGAAGAAAGGGATAAAAATTAACCTACCTGTTGCTGGTCCCAGATCCAGGCTGGAATCGTTGAGATCTCCCCCATCTTCCCAGAAGTACTGGGGGGGCTGTAGGATCTTGGACTCCTCATTCTCCTCACTAGCAAAGCCTGATCCCGCGGAGGCATGCAGGGCACTGAGGACGGGGTCAGGCTCCGTGGCCTCCGGGTTGCTTTGCTCGCTGGAATCCAGTAGCTCCAGATGGGACATCATTGTAAACTCCACCAAGGAGGTTGAGGTGAGACCCTCAGCGGTGGGCTCCTCTGATGAAACAAGGCAGAGGCACAAGGTCCCTACACAATGACAGGGAGACCCATGTCAGAATAACAGAGTGAGAGGCAGTAGTGGGAACTGATGAAATGAGACACAGGGGTTTTGATCTCACCACAGGTTCTGTTGCTCCAGACACAGCTGTACTGGGTCAGACCAACAAGACCATCTAACCCAGTAACCTGCCTCCTGTCAAACCACATCAGCCCATCTAGCTTCCTGATGCAGTCTCTGAAATAGCCCCCTCTCCCCCCTCAGGCTGAGGGCACTGTTAGCTTAGGACAAAAACAATCATGGCTGTTTAAGAAACATACACAAGAAGCTACACAGATAGAAGTTCACCTCCGGACTCAGCTAGTGTAGAGCAGTGTCACTCTGCTGAGGTCAGTGGTGCCCCAGGCACTTACCCCAGCACAGCTCCATGGACTTCAAGGGAACTAGGCCGATCTACCTCAGCTGAGGATCTGGCCCCACTGAATTTATCAGACGCAATGTGGCTGGGGCCAAAGTTGCCTGACTGCAGTGGACCCAAAGAAGACTCTGTGTGGCTCAAAAGCTTGTCTCTTTCACCAACAGACATTGGTCCAATAACAGATATTACCTCGCCCACCTTGTCTCTCCAATATCCTGGGCCCAACATGGCTACAACTACACTGCATGAATGCAGTGGCAACATTTAAAATCCTCAGCCCATAAGAAGGCTCATGTTCTGGGAGCTCGTGTGTTTGGTTTTTCTACATTCGTTTTAAGTCAGTTTTATGCTAAATGACAAATAAGCAGGGAAGGGATAAAAATGCAACGCAGTTTGTCTTGGGCCAATGGATCTGAAGAGAGGCTGATGCAGCCATCAAGTTCAGAGCCCCATGTGGTGGTTGTCTGATAACCTAGACAGGTTGGAAACACAAGCTAGATTGCTTCTGCAGTCCTACCCATTTTCTAAATAATACCACCATATGTTACATCCCTAGAGGGTCCTCCGTCTCAAAGGGCTTCCCATGCTGCACAGAGACAGCACCTCTGAAATGCACCACCTCTAGGGCAGGTTGCGTCACCACTTTGAACAGCGGGAGGGATGGGGAGGGAACAGTTTATCCAAAGGCTCCAACTTAAGCCAGGGCATCTTGGTGCATGTTACAGAGACTGACAGTTTTATGATCTTCCCTCAACTGCACGAAGCTCAGTTATGTATGAGAAGGATGAATGGCTGAGCTGACCCAGGCAGTGTTGAACCTGTGGTTCTAGACATTACCAACCTAGGGCTTACCCTGCTAAGCCACCCTCTCGAGGGAACAGTTCTGTTAATGCATTCACTTACTGCCCAGCCCCACCAAAGTGTGCCCCTGCCTGCTCTTTATTAAGCACAGAAGCATCTTCGGTCAGATATAAACCTGCAGTCCTGGAACCTTAAAAATTCCGTTTGTCCTGAAGGGACTCGGTGTCGGTGGAATCTCCTAATCAGCTAAGAAGTGCCCAGTACTCTGAATAGGAGATAACTACCTTCATCACACCAGGTTAGAGAAGATACCAGTCATTATTTACTCTGTGGGGGTGAGAGAGACACATCCTCTGCATGTGTGTATACCTCTACTGGTGGATCCCCAGGAGATGTATACAGCAAACCAAAGTAACTGTATGACCTTATGATTGTAACCCTCCCCTTCCTTTTCCCCACCCCAATTGCTTGTATCATCTGCTGTGCTGCAACTACCATTAGACTGAGAGGTATTCAGGGAAGGGAACATGGCTGTTTTCATTTGTCTGCAGGGCCTGTGGCACACTGTGGTCAATGACTAAATAAATAAATAATAAGGGGATGTCCTGCCCTGCAGGCTGAAATCGATCGACAAACCCTGAATTCTTGTTAAACACCCTTCCTGGAGAGGAGGCAGAATTTTAATCACTCGGGGTAAAATCCTGGCTCCACTGAAGTCTATCGGAGTTTTTCCATTGACTTCAACAGGGCCAGGATTTCACCCCAAGTCTGACTCACTGACACTGACACTCTCTCTCTCTCTATATATATATTATCTCTCTCTCCTAGGAGCACACTACATTATACAGGGGCATGTTACACATATAATTCAACTCACTCACATGAGCCTTATACAGCTCTCTCGCTCACTGCTACAGCCCTCTACAGAAGCTCAGCTCTTCCCTATAGGAACAGAGGCAAGGGGCTCTTCCCCGTAACTGAATGAGCGACCCTTCTATTTTGAAACACCTGGGGAGTGGAGAGTT